TTGATACAAAATTAGTATAAATATTTCCAACATTAAATTTGATTAAATTTTTAGATAAATCATGCATCATTTTAAGTACAAAAACAAAGTACAAAAATAATATAAATCTACGGATATATATAATTAGGGAGTTCTCTCAATATTTAGGATGTCCACATCATCAAAACAAAAAATATTAAATTAATTTTCATAGTAAATATTCATTTAATTCATGTTTATTTTATTTTTATTGTTTACAATTATTAGATTTTAAAATGAAATTAAAAACGAAATTTAAGTAAATAAATGGATAAATATAGTAAATCCAGGATTATAAAATATTTTCTTGGTACTAATAATATAGAGAGGTGAAACAAAAATAAATGTAAGGAGACACAAATATGTATCGGAAAAAAACAGTGCTCTAAAATATGTTATATGCTAGGCGGGCGGTGGACCACCGTATAGTGTATAGACGTATATATTGACGTTTATGCGGGGTATATACGGTAGATATTTTTGCATATTTATGCATATATATACAAAAATATTTTGTTTTAATAGGTAATAGGAAAAATATTATTATGAATTCTATAAAAAAACTTAAATAATTAATTCAAATAGTAAAATAACATAATTGAAAATTGTTTCAAATAACAAAAAATAGAATTATATCAATTATAATTTTGGAAAAATGTCAAAAACATAGTTTGATTTGAAATATTTGGAAAAATATATGTGTTAAAATTGTATATTTGATCATTTAGTTATCGTATATAAAGAGATAAATTTTTTTTGCATTTAAAATACATATAGCATAAATACGGTACGACCAGCCACTGTATAGCGCCTGGACGCCGTATATGCGGACGTCTGGACCGTATTTTAGAACACTGGAAAAAAACGAAAGAAATGTTAGTAAATATATTTTAAGAGAATTTGACTAAATTTCGGAAAAGATATATGCACTAGACTAACATAAATATTTTAGATCGCATTCACTTTCTCTCCTCTTAAGGTGTCCACATCATCATTTTAAATCATTTACCTCATAAAAATGTAATTGCATTAAAACTAAAGTTTAATGACTTAATTAATTCTTTATTTTAATTTTTTTTCCTATTAATTACCACCCAACATAA